GTACTGATGGTAGCCATCATTGAGACGACTGCTTCAGGGCTCACGTCTGGGGTGGGACTTTTCAGCCAGTCAGTTATGAGTCTTTGTAGTATTGGAGCCATGGGGGTATCAAAATCCTATTGTACACAATCAGATACACCTGATAACAGGGGGCAGAAGACTACACAAAAAATAATCTGGACTTATCGCATAGTAATAAATTATTAATATAAAAAATGTATTTCCGTTTTTTTCTTTTTACATAGTTTGTTAAAAGGTCAAATAAAGACTTAAAACAAAAAAATAAGTAATTTTTTGTTTTGTTTTATTCTTTGATCAGGCTTTAAAGGGTTAATACACAACAAACCGGTTAAAGATCAGAGTTACAGCAGCATCTTTCTGGGAGGATCTGAACCTTTTCAGGTCCATTTCAGCTTTGTGACAAACTAAACGAACGCCTAGACTTCATTTTCAACTAGGGTCATTGTAAGAAACATTTAAGACTTTCAGGCTTATTGTTTCAGTCGTATTGATTTTCTCAAAAAAAAGAAAAAGAGAAAGAGAAAAGCTGGCAGCTGTTCAGGTTCATGTTTCGGTCCGTTGCATCATCGTCTTTGTCAACATCCAGAAGGACCTCTGACTTTCTCACCTTCATGGTGTTGGGTTTAGTCCCAGCCTTTAAATTGGTGTCCTCTAACCAAAGGCTGTTTCCAGCCATCTAAGCTCTGAATATAAGTATTCTGGAGATGTTAACCCCTTCATGGCCTGGTCAGCAGCATCATTTGTTTGATCAGGTTATTCAGAATCAGAAATACTTTAACCCTTTATCGGACAAGTGACTGTTTTTGGGAATTTCCGCAAGTTAGTTATAGTAAAAAATTTAAGAAAATGTCACAAATGTAATAAATGTCAGGAGGGTGGGTTGTTTGACGGAGGACTCAGGTGCGGAGATGAGGGAAGACAAGGTTTACTACAAAACGGTGGAAGTCCAGACATGAGTACAAATCAAAGCTATGGAAAACTGTGGGCAAAGTATCAAAGCAAAGCAAACAAGACTGTGGCAAAACTATGACAAAGTAACAAAATAAAGATTAACCAAAACTGTGACAAAACTGTGACTATGACTGTGGCAGAACTACGACGAAAACAAACCTGGCGTGGGGGTGACGAAGGACGTGACGGACAAGAGCACAAGAACACACTGGCCCAGGACATGGGAAACGAGGACTATTTAAACACATGAGGGAGGGGAACCCCAGGTGAACACAATAGGTAATCAAGACATGACAACACACCAGACGTGACAATAAAGTCTTATTATGTTGTCCAATAACACTCTAAGGTTGATTTTTTTTTATTTTAAAGTGTTTCATTAAGTGCCCTATAAAGGGTTAATAATCCCAGATGGAAATTATTTTTGTTCCCAACTCCAGGTATACAACAGCATATATATATATACACATAGATAGATAGATAGATAGATAGATAGATAGATAGATAGATAGATAGATAGATAGATAGATAGATAGATACCTCCATCGTTTTGTTAGACATGTAAGGAAATTTGGGTGAAAATTCTTCGGGGAAAGGGGAAAAGATTTATCTGAATTATTCCCAGAAGCCTCCCCCGAAAAGTCCAAAGATCTGATCCTTTAGTGTCTTGGTCACATGGTCAAAATAATCTTAAATTTATGAAAGAAAAAAAAAAAAAAAAAAATTAAAAAAAAAAGAAATTACAAACAGTAAAATATAAACTTTTCTGTCTAAAAACGCTTCAAGACTAAGTTCTTGAACATTCCACACAAAATATAAATAAGTATATACATATAACTATATGTACATATACACATCTAAAATAAGTGCTAAGGAGAGTGTGAGAAGAATAAATAAATGCCTATTATTTAGTTAGAAATAACTCCTCCTTGGCATTCTGTTAAAACACAGTTTTCTTTTTTATATCCTCAGTTGTGATCAGACCGGTGAAGTTAAACAGCTCTGAGCGACATAATTAACTATGTGATGATGCTGAAAAGCTGATGTGAAGCAGAGAAATACGCATCTACAGTCAGCAGGGCTCAGTTTGATAATTATCTGTAATTCTCATCCCATTTGTGAGTTATTCAGAACCTGTTAATCAGCCTTTTAACACATAAGAAATTACAATATTCCAATCCGAACTAAAAAAAAATCACCTCCAACATCAACAAAGTGTGCAGCAGATAAAGAGAAGATGTCACGGAGGTGGATCTTAAGGGAGGACTCAGGTGCGGAGAGGGTTGGTTCCAGAAGTTTAATTGCAACAAAAACACACTCAAACGGAGTGGATGCTGACAAAGTTCAAAACAAGGCTGTGAAAAAGCTACGAACAAAGTATCAAAGCAATAAAGTTAACAAGACTGTGGCATGGCGGTGGCTAAAATAAGACTTTGGCAAAGTGCAAATAAAGATTAACAAAACTGTGACAAAAACATGGCTATGGCAATAAGGAAAAATAAGACTGTGGCATGGCTGTGGCAAAAATAAGACTTTGGCAAAGTGCAAATAAAGATTAACAAAACTGTGACAGTGCTGTGACAAAAACATGGCTATGGCAATAAGGAAAACAAGACTGTGGCAAAGTGCAAATAAAGATTAACAAAACTGTGACAAAAACATGGCTATGGCAATACGGAAAACAAGACTGTGGCATGGCTGTGACAAAATCAAACCTTACGTGGCGAGGGGTGACAAAAAACTCACAATGACGAAAAACTCACAAACACACTGGCCCAGGACATGGGAAACGAGGACTATTTAAACACATGAGGGAGGGGAACCCCAGGTGAACACAATAGGTAATCAACACATGACAACACACCAGACATTCCCCCAGACGTGACTAATTTGGCATGTTCACGATTTCATTTCTTCATTTTAAAGAATTTAAATCATTTTAATGATGAACATGTTTGCCACTTATAACACTCATGTAAAGTTCAGTTAATTTGGTAATTCATATAGTTATATTTGATTTAATTCACGACTACATCTTTAAGATACTTAGTTGAATCTGCTTTTTCCTTAGGTTAGATTCTCATTGGTTTGTTTTTAGTCATGTGACA